CGGCAAACTACAAAGGCGGGCGCGAGGCTCGAAAACGTAGTTCCTGACTCTACAAGTGTCAGGCCTTAAAATAAAATAAATGTTGTCAACTAAAAATTTTGAATGTCATAGCTAGCTAGACATTATTTTCAATTGAAAAAAAATAATTATAAAGCATAATACTATAATCCTATGCTTAAAATGTATTTTCTTGTGGCCGCCTGACAGCAACCTGTAAATGTGGCGTGACAGTGAACGTGTTAATAAGTAAATGTTGTTCAAATTATGTCGTGTTTGATGTAGTTTTCATCAGAAAAATCTCATCAATATGTTAAGAAAAATTTCGGGATAAAAGAACGTAAAATTAAAAAAGTTGGTATTTAAATCGCTTGGTTGCCTCGACTCACGTTTCATCCTTATCTTTTATTCGCTGTCCTTGTCTACGTTCGGCAAACTACAAAGGCGGGCGCGAGGCTCGAAAACGTAGTCCCTGACTCTACAAGTGTCAGGTTTAGGTTCCTTGCGGACTGACATTTGTGGAGAATTTACTGTATATCGTTCGATGCAATTTCAACAAGTTCATTTATCCATTCATTCTTAATCTCTGATACTATTACACTTATGTATGCATTTATTTTTATGCAAATGGTCGTTATACTTGTAATAATCATCATTATTGTAGATGTTTTCATAATTTTGTTAAAAATACCAGGTCGTGACAGTTACCTGTACTGCTACTGTGTTGCAAGGTACAAGACTTTCGAAGATGTTCAGGAACCTCTGCTATCGCCAGACTGACGTCGGATGAAGAACTACAGGAATCCAATTGCGTCGAGTTTTTACGAGATGCACGTACAACTTCGATAGACTGTGACGATTGTCCAATCAAATTGTTGCCCTCTTCCCCTTGACTTTCAACCGACGACGTTACTCCAGATGACATTGGATGCTGTTGTGGTGTGCAATCCATGACGTGCTCTATACTCGGTCCTGAAGCCGTGTCCCACGGACAGACGTCGTCCATAGGGCGAGCCACCGTTTCGGACGTGCCAACATCCCTGACAACACGAACTTTATTATACGATTTAATTTTCACTTTTTCCTTCCAGCAAATGTTCACGACGTCTTGGTGTTTCTTCATGTGTCCGTAAATCATGCAATATAGAGTCATATTATACAACAGATAGGATGGATGGAACACGCTTTCGTAGATTACATGTTCGAAAGAATTGGAAAGGAATATCGTAATTGTTGTTCCTTTTTGTTTATACTGTTGAGGGGAGTCGAGACAATTACACGTTATTCGAAAAAGAAGAAAACGTCTTCTGAACGATTTAACAGGTGGGAAATGTACAATTCGGGAGAACTGAATTACTCCAAGGGCATGAATAATTGAAATCTGAAATTCGATAAGTACGTAGTTGCCTGTACGTGTACCATATCGCATTGAGCATATAAGAAAATCGAGTGTTCGACAAATGGTTTACGTAAAACGATCACGTGAAATTGATTACATAAGATATTTCAGTGGTATTTCAACGATATCGAATGACAAATTTTTCAATTAAACAAACAACATTTTCGATGTAGATCAATTTTAATCTCGATAGAAAAGAAAAAGGAACAATGATTAACTGTCCGAATGCAGAAAATGTTTGCCAAACACGCGTTGACGAAAAGAGATCAAACGGTGCTGATGAGGAAATGTATTTATACGACACATGGTAAAAGAGAATAGACGAATCAAGTAGTACATGTAATAATATGGTGGCGTCACATTAACAACAAAAGCGGAAAATTAAGAAAGAAAAGTAAACGATATGTACAAAAGATACAATACCGAGATTGAAATAGCTAAAATGCAGTAACGGAGGAGAGTTGTTAAAAAGGATAGTAAAAATGCGTCACCTTTCACACATCGAGAATAATATAGATTATGTTAGAGAACATTAAAAGTCTAGTATGTTTTGCATACAACATACGTAATGGTTTCTTAAAAGTGCTCAACAACACTTTGTAAAAACACAGCGAACGATAGGGTTTGTCAAAAATTGAAAACAAGTCTAGTGATTCGGTATTCGCATACTTATCCAAGGAAACTACGGAACTGTTTCGAGGACTTACTGAACGCTATGCGGAATAGGCCTCGTAGGAATCTTTACAAGTCGAGCCAGATCTCCCCTGAAAATACCGTACCGATAAAACCTATCTTTTCGACCAGTTATTATTACGCAACAGTTACGAGATTCGATTGTATCTCAGCTATATAAACTATAGTTTCTTTCTTTTGTGCTTTATTAATCACAAGTATCATGCGAGTAAGTTATCGAGAATAGGATAAAGACACCGGTTTCAGGTGTACATATGCGCCGCAGGCATACATATGTAGATCAAATTAGAGGCATTTTTCTAAACGGTTGACACTTTCCTAATTAAATTTTATTCCTTTTACTTTCACATCTTACAGATGTTAGCGATAGATGTTACAGATTTGACACTTAGTTAGTGTGAATTACATCGAGTCAACTTATTATGTTAGTCAACAATATGCAAATTGATTGCAAACTGATTACAAAGTACATAATATTGTAAAAATATACTTGGTCTTGATGTGCCTATTAATATGTACCGGCGTGTATGTAGGCATCAATTAAATTTACATTAGTGATATCCACTGGGACTTTTCAATACTCAGTCGTTTCTTATTTACTTCTGCATGATGTGTGCCATCGAAAGGTGTGAATTATTCTTTTACGTAAAAAGTTAAATACGTTACCGTTACATTTATCGAAGTGTAGAAATGCAGAGAATGAAATGTAAACAGAAAAGAGGCAAAAAAAATATGTGTATTCCCAGTGAATATCATCGGTTTGAAAAGTTATCAAACTGATCGTTTACCTGTATGGGATGTCAGCGAGGTTCGACTGACTGTGGGAATGGGGCACTCTAGGCGTTGAAGTTATCTCTCGAATACCACAAATAGCTAATTCATGAGCAGATCCGGAAAGGCTTCGATCGCTTCCTCTACGTTTAGTACCGCTGCCACTACATACACCGTGTTGCTGCAAAGTCGTTGGAGCCGAAGTCGAAGAAACTTTCTTCTTGGCTTGTCCGCCAAAGACGAAAAATCTGTAAAATAATATTCAAGAAATAATTACAATCGCAACTATTACAATTAAAGTAAGAGAAAGTGAATAAAAATGCACCTTTTTCTTTGCAAAGGTTGCACACCGGCAGCTAGAAGGTTTCGATACTGATCGGAGCGAATAAATCTTGGATAACAATCCTTTTTCAGAAGTAACGTATATACATGTTCAGCGGCGGAATCGAATGTAAATCGATTTGGATTTTTCATTTCTTGATGAATCTTTTCCATTGTCTTTCCGTCGATATTTATTTCGCAAGGAGCTCCAGGTGCCAGAAATTCTCTGAGCAAACGAAATTGATTATTCTGGTATCGTGCATCATCTGATTGCCGGCGATATAATCCAACGATAGACGACCAAATGATATTTCGTTGTACGTACTTGAAGATTTCGTTGACTTTGTCTGGTATTTGAGCTTGAAAGCTATGCCTTAAATCTTTAACCGCTAACCAAAATCGTATATTTTCATGGCTGTACTCTTTTCTCAAGTAATTTGTAAACTCTTGCAAACCTGCGAGACGTGATACGCAAAGTCAAAATAGAAATTTTTCTAATGTTAATTCACTTAAAAATTCTTTCGATTTTTCTTCCACTGTTCGCCTTAAAAGTTGAAATGAAATTAAAATGAAACAGAATAAGACAAAGAAGAAGCAGATGTGAAAGGAATTTCAATCGAACGTTTTAAGCAGAATTCGATAGAAGATAGCCGTTGGCAATTTATTCTATCTTAATATCTATAATAATATAGTACTGTAACGCACAACGAGGAAATGACAATAAACCATTCACCTGTAGGATCAGACATTAACTCTTCCATTGATAATGCCCAACGCTTGACGCGCTTCTCTGTAGGAACTTCCACCCTGCGGATAATAAATGGACCGAATGAAATTGTACCAACAGAAGTATCTTACAAGGAGAGCTTGTATACTTTACTGTAAAGCATATATATTTGCATGAAAGAAATGTTAATTACGATTGAAATACTAACAGAGGGCTGTTCAGCTGCCAATATGTTTGATCATCGGTGATCCATGGGTTGGAGGGTTGTGGCTGTATAAACATTGGATCGTATTCCATATATGTTTCGAAGTATGATTTCAAATTTTCAATTGCAGCCGAAACCTTTATTCTTGTACGTGTTAAACTGTTTTTCAATAGGGCCACCTATTAATAATCCAATAAAAATATATGTACCATTATTATAACAACGTACAGGGTATTTGGCAACAGTTGGTAGAAAATTTAAAGGGCGATTATACAAGTCAAAATAATACGAAAATGAAGAATATCAAAATTGCGTTTGAGACTTTGCTTTTCGGTAATTAACGTTTAAAAATACCCCTGTGACCAAGCAAACCACCCCATATACCAACGAATGTAGGGTGGGTTGAAGACACAAGGGGTACAATAATCCTCGAAACAAACAACACATGGCTGGCAGCTAACTTTTCTTCAGAACAACCTAGGTGCATTTTGGAAAGTTCTTCAAATGTATATTTCATTGCACGCTGTAATAAAACTCAGCGTACACACACAATACGCACCGAAAGCCAATCAATATACACTACAATATTCACATACACACGCTCAAAATGACAAAGAAAACTGGGAGTATTAAAGCTGCTACACTAAAGCATAATAAATTAAATTTAACTGATTGTGCTAAACTAAAACTAATTAACTTATTATTATATAACTATAAAGTACTGTATAACAAAAAGAAAGAGATTAAAATAAGTGCTACGCTCGCTTGTCGCACTCTTCAAACGTTTCGTTTTCTGCCCATCCAAAATTTCCAACCTTGCAATGGTCCCCAGACGCATCTAGTGAACACCGTGTCCATTTTCTCCATTGCCATATCTTTCTTTAAAGACGCTTTTAAAAGCGTACTTCCAGATATTGCGACTGTTCTTTGTCAACTTTGAGTTATAGGTACGTAGGAAACAAAAACATTGGGAAAGGTTGTCGGATGTCGTAAATTTTGTTTTCGGAATAAACATTGAAGAGAATACACATTTGAAGAACTTTCCAAAATGCACCTGTGTTGTGGTGAAGCAAATAGTAGCGCTGCAAAAGTCAGTTTACTGCACCGAATGTCACCGCCCTTTTCTCTACGACTTGTACGAGATAAGCTGTCAGCATTGGCTGGTTCGGAGGATACCTCCGTGTCCTGATGTGTCTTACATTCGTTGGTGCAGAGAAGTCCGCTCAACCATTGTGACATTTTTGAATGTTAATAACTAAAAAACGTCTTATTTTGATTTATTTAAAATGTTAATTACTCCTAAAATTTGTCACCAACTGTTGCCCAACACCCTCTATATACGTATTAATATAATGATTTAGCGTACAACTTTAATTAACTGAAAATCATTTCCCTTTCCCTATCCTCCCTCCCCGTGTGTGTGTGTGTGTGTGTGATTAATGGGTGATTCTACATGATAAAATAAAACGAAAATGAAGAATAACAAAGTCGTAATTAGAATTTTTCAATTTTTATCTCATCTAATCTAATTTAAAAGCACTTTATCGTAAACCGGTCATCGTAGGGCAATTCAGTAGATCGTGGTAAAATTACCCTAAAAAATAATGATGCACAATTTGTAAGAGCTTCTACGACGTCAAATTTGCGTCATTGGTTTTCACAATGATCGTCTACTGGCCTACTTTGTCGCAACTGGTGTACGGCAGATTCTTGAGAAGATATTTTAAACGGATATAGCTGGTAAATTTGAATAAATCCTTACTTTTTATTTTCGTTTTATTTTGTCATGCAGAATTTCCCGTTAAAGCTTCTTTTTCATACGTCACCAAAAAGCCTGTATAAATGATACATAAAACATTTTTCATTGATCCTTTTAATTGAGCAATTTGTACGGTACGATTGCGATATTTTCAACACGTTACGGTGAATTAACATAGTACTTGTTAATATTACTGAAACAGAGAGAGAGGGCGGCGGGAGGGAGAGAGGAAGAGAGCTAAAGGAAGAAATTTACCTCGCGCTGCAGGTCGGTTAAAGTACGTTTACGTGACGGAGGACGCGAAAGTCCAGGACGAAAACGTGTAGGTACGGGTGCTACTTCAAGACTACTGAGGCAACCAGGTGGTGGCCTATACACTCTCCAAAATGCTCGCTCCTGTGAATCGCTCACTATCTTGTCCCCTTTTTTTCGTTCCTTCGATAAGCGTACCTGGACCCACAAAATTAACAACATTTCAAGAAGATGCGTGCTCGAATGTGCCAGACTCCGACTACATGTCAAGTAAACAAATGAATGAAAATATAATTTAACGGAATAATTATTCCCAAAACTGCTTTAAAAATCTACTACCGTTTTACTCTCAATTCGTTAAACGTTTCATTATAGGCATATGCGTAATACAATTTGAATTCATTCCTTGAATTAATCAATCAATTAGGTCCAACTAATTTTCAGTTTCATACTTACAAGGCACTATTCTCAAGTGATAATAGCTGGCATAATAATTTTACAAAAGTTTGGCTTAAGCTGTGGCTTAAAAAAATATTAGTCATTTCATCCGCAATCCTCTACACCGAATGAGTGAAAATTTCTCTGAAAATTACAATTAATAAACCTATTTGATCTAACATCGTGTAAACTATTAGAAATAAAGAAATAGTGTGAATAAACGGGTTTTTAAAAATTTTTGAACATCGAATTCAGCTGTGTAGGCAGATATAAAGAAAGACGATTTATGCCTGCAAAAATTCATTAAAAACCATTGCTTTTTCGTTCATTTTTCTCATATAACGTTTACGCATTTTTACGCATAAAATTAGACTTTTACGCGAAAATAACATTTTTACAACATACAGTAGTAGTAAATACCAAAACACAAGATACTCCTGATAATTAAGAATTTTGATATTTTGTGAAATATTTATATTTGAAGAAACTTTAAATTTGTACGTATTTATCATTTCTATTACGAGTATGCGTCATGGAACGAATGCACCTGACTGAAAGAAAACTTCAAGCACAATTAACTTTTCCAATATACTTTTATTATTGCTCAGTTCTTTAATTTTCTACCTACTACTTCTAATTTCTTTCTTTATCATTAATTTTCACTACTTTAAATTTCTGGAAAGTTATTCTCACTCGTTCAATGAAGAAATCAACAGGTTATTCCCTCTGCATTATGTAATTTAGTCAAAATCGGAGATTAATCAGTTCGATGATTGTTAGTTCTCGGCATCAGCTAACAATGAATTTGAACGAATGTGTATGAGAATAAACTGTCGAAATGATTAATTATTCACCTGTTCTTCGGCTTGAAGTTGTATAATATCCCATTTGTTCTGCAAATTCCTACGTAGGCTGTTTAAAGCTTCCTAAGGAAATAAATTATTTACTAAAATGACGGAGATACACGTGTCAGCTGTTCCAAATGAAACTATTCAAATGTACATACGATTTCATAATCTTCAAGAGCATGGCGTTGCTTGTTTCTTAGAGTTCTCTTAGATAGATAAATAGCATACTCCACATTATCAGGGGTTCTACGCTGCCATGGCCAATAACATGGTGTCTATTTGTTAAATAAAAAATGATCTATTAATAATTTAAAGGGTAAGCGTTATTATACGAACAATATTTCAACTCTTTTTTATATCTATAAAACATTGCATTCTGTTGAAAAAGTTCATTAACATACTACTGGTAACGTCTGAATTATTATACGCATATGTACACTGAACTCTCTCTTTTACACACTTCTTTCGATTTTTCTATCGATTGGTTCAAATCGGTGTGGCGGATTAATATTTGCCAGCATATTGTATTAAAATTGTGAATTAGTATGCATGCTTATTACATATTTAAAATAGCTTGACGAAAGATAATAATCAATTTATTTATTCAATTGAAATATTTTTACAAACATATATCTACTTATACAGGGCTATCCAAATTACTAGCTATCACATCTTCCAACAGCGTTATCGTCACATGATAATCACTTTCTATCGTACTGAGAGCCGATCTCTCGGTATTGTATATCGAGAGTTTGTTTAAGCGTTGAGTGCGATACGGGACTGCGTGAAGGCACTTGGGACATAGACCAGACGGCGGGTCATAAAAATGGGAAAATACCCATCGCCGGCGAAAACTATGCCTGCAGTCAGTCACAGCCGAAACATAGTACGATACACACCCTCTTCTTTAACCGTAGTTTTATATATCCTCGACCGCTCCGCCTTTTTGCTAAGCTTAAGATCCCTACACTTTCTTTAGGGCCAAATTGAACAATATGAACGTGGACGATATCTGGTTCCAACGGTGCCACATACCACACATCAAAGGAAACAGTTGCTCTGCTGAAGGAAATGTTTAATGGACGCGTAATTTCACGAGGAGGAGACATCAATTGGACATCAATTGGCCACCAAGATCGTGTGATTTAACACCGTTAGACTATTTTCTATGGGGATTCTTGAAAAGTAAAGTCTACGCTAATAATCCAAAGACTATTGACGAGCTGAAAAACAATATCACAGCCGCCATTGATGAAACTGAATTTCAGTTATGTGAAAATGTAATGAAGAAAAGCCGAGGAGGACACTTGAATGATATTGTCTTTCATAATTAATGTCATAAAGCAGACTTTGCAAAGAAACCATACAAATCTCAAATACTTTGCGTTTCATTTCAATTTGAAGACGTGACACTCAATTTGGATAACCCTGTATAATGTATTTCGCACTTCTGGAATTTTTTCCAAATTTAAAATCAATGTTTCATACATCGTAACCATTTGTTAGCATTCGATATCAATCTTTCTACGGATGAACTTGTTGCTAGAAGAAAAAAATCAAAGATTTCCGAGTACTTAGGGCTCCCGTCCCGTTGACGCTAATGCATTGCGTATTATTCTGTATACATGAAATATATAACAAGTTTTCGATAAACGAGTTTTCAAAGTAGGCCATTCTGAATTAAATGCTGTACAGGGTGAGCCGCCTAACGTAATCATCTTAAATTATTCTGTTGTTAGTGGACCGATCGAATTTTCTTTTACGTCGCACAATATGATTCAAAGAGGCCTTTAAGGTGATTATATTATAATACATTTTTCAGGTCACCTTCAATCTTTTATAGATAAACCTATCATTTTTTGACGCCTATATTTTAGCACATTTGATTGTATTTATAATAGTGTTTATATGGAGATGCTGTTTTGTAATGGATCGATGTTCTTAAAATGAGGTGACTTTTTAGTTAAAATGAATGAAAACGAGACCTATAAATATGACAGCGAAACGAATACTTAAGCACTGATATCGCAAAGCTACTGTGGGTGTATTCAAAATAATTATTGTTTTCTTGTACCTAAAGGTAAATTATAATTTTATACGTATAAAGTGTAAATTTTGGAAATTACATTGAGTTGAAAAACTTGCTTTTGCGAGATTAAAGGAGGGGAAGGGGCACGCTAAAGCGTGTAAGTGTTAATTCGCTTACACACCCCGAAACGATAATCACTAATATTGATGAAGCTTTGGTCACTGGTAGTATTCAAAAACCATTTTCACACGTAGGAAACGACATAATTAATAGATACTCGTATGTTAATAGTTAATTATGCAAAAGTTCAAGTGTCTTAAAGTCATAGTAAAAAATGTAAAAAAAAGTCAAACGCGGCGAATTGAAAAAATGGTACCTAGTATGGAATACCTAGGAAAGTAAAGAAATCTCAAGAACTTTATTTTTACTACGAAAAATGAATGTATATATAAATAAAAAAGACATATAAACAAATATATCCCATTTTTTTGGAACCTTGTCCCAAGATTTTCTTTTAATTTTTAGTGCTACAACTTCCATCTATTGTATAAACAATAATAATAATAGCATAAAACTATGTGATATATTGTAGTACAATAATACGATGTACTTATAATGGTAAAAATATAATATTCATATGGAACACGTTACACTTAACGTGTTAATACCATATGGGTACATATGTATAGTCCGACAAACCTAAAGTGAAGTCTCTGACGTCACAGTCTGGCCAGATGAAGGCAAAATAGGCGGGTCAAGCCATCCCCACTACTCTTACACTGCAGGCGCTTGAGGGGAAGTTGCGCTGTAGGTAATTGGTTTAGACATATGAATTTCAGTCAGCTGTCGATAATGTGGCACGCTGTTAAAAGAACGGAAAACTAAAAATTATTTGGTCACCTTGTCCTCTTTTCTACGTTGGCGCGTAAGACATATTTAATAGCGCAGACGTTAATTTCTAAGCGACTCATACACAATAAATTGTTATTGTAAAGGAAGCCTCAGGAGAAGTATCAATACTTTTTAACAGTTAGAAAACAAAAGGAAATATTTTTTTGCTATTCCTGAATAATAAAAGTAGATTTCGGTGCATTAAAAAATTGCTTAAGAAGCTAAAAATTTCTGGCTGCAATGAAAAATAGCGTGCCACCACAGGCCGACAGCCACTTTTTATAGCCAATAAAAACCATCAAACAGCCACTATTTAATGTTAAAGTTTTGACAAATTTAACAAAATCAGACGACATGTCGTCACTTTAACCGTAATATTTCGGCGTTGGGCTCATTTCATAGCAATAAACATAGCAATAATCGCTGCTAAAGTTTCAGACACTGTTCCCACTCATAGAATAATTTGGAAAAAACACCATTGGATTGCTTGAATTTTAACCTGTAAAATAAGCTTATCGAAATAATAGACAAATTTTTGGAACATGGGATAAAAAAATAAAGTTTACCATGATGCACGTCGTTTGACGTCGTGCAGGCATCTGTTCGCCTGTTTATGGTGTCTGCGCGACATAAACTTAATTTTTTTTCGAGCGCTTGAAAATATCATTCCGGTGAATTATCGACTGCTCGAACGAGACCCGATCGTCATCTATTGTTCATAGAAGAGTAAGTGCGATAGCCTTATTCTATCCCTATTGGCTGACTATAAGGGAAGACCTAAGAGTAACTGCGATAGCCTTATTCTATCTTTATTGGCTTACTAACAGCGAGCCGTCGCAAGTTCCCCTACATCTCCCACTTCTAGGCCCTAAGTCCCGCCTGAGACCTCACTTTAGGTTTGTCGGACAGTACGTATTTCGAGGGAAGAAAAAAAATTTAACGGTAAAGACTCAATGTTTAATGATAAATCATGCGAAAGTAATATTTTTTTACCTTATCTTCACTAAAAAATTTCACTATTTAACTCGCCTCTCAAAAACTTTTATACGCTGTCGAACAACAATCAACTTCGCATTTAACGACAGATTTGTAACTAAAGCTCTTTGACTATGATTGTCTTGTGTTTTTAATGAAATATTTTCTTACTTATTTTCCGAAATATTGTGATGTTCCGTATTAGGTACAGTTATCCTATTTTTCTTTTGTCGGCAATCCTCTACACTAAAGGGGTAAAAGTCGCCCTCAAAGATGACGGTAATGAACATATTCAGTCAAAATTATTTAGTACTTTTTATTTCTGAAATTTGTTGAAAAATACAAAATTCGTCAATTTACACTATTCCTCTATCCCTAATAATTTTCGAGATATTAGACTAAGAGGTCGACAGTGCGTAACGGCTCTAAATGCATTTACTACCTCCAACTTTTAGGACTACATACTTTGGTCCCTTCATTGTGAATGATTGTGGATATAAACAAATAAGTGTCGAATATTTTTTTGAGAACTAATATATATTAAAGTTTCATCAAAATCGGTGATTATCACTTTGGGGTGTTCCCTTATTACTGAAGATTTTCTTCAAATTTTCTAAATGCATATTTCCTTCAGCGTTGAACTGGTGGAAGTTTCTTGAAATTACTGTCTAAATCTTCAAATCTAACTTCGATGGAATTTTTGTTTTTTGATAAGAGTATGCTAAGGAGGGAGTTTTTACTTGTTATAAGTGTGGAAGATATGTAGGAAAGAATTTCTAATGCATTTAAAGACATCAATTTGAAAATGCTTCCGGTTGTAAACGACAACTTCCAGAGGTGTATTCAAGTAGATACTTCACATCAAAAGAACATAAAAAAATTTTGTGTTTCCACATTTTTCAATACAATCATTCAACATAAGGAGATCGTTGAACTGGTCTCATTACGCTCTATCATTCCATAGAATCAAATGTACCATGTACCATTTAACAATATTCCAACTGACCCTCAAATGACCTTAATGCCTCCATTAAGTGAATTTACACCTCCATGCTTTAGTGTTCCTCTTCACCAGTTTTAATTTCCCAAGAGCAAGTTTTCCAATTCAACGTACTTTTCGAAATATGAGCATTTATAGATTAAAATCAGTCATCTGTACATATAATGTAACATTTTACAGTTCCTCACGATTTCCAACTTCGTGAAAATAAACTAAATATTTGCTTTTTTACTTTTGAAAAATAGAAATGCAGCGCATATGGTGATCTAAGAAGTGAATTTATTGGAGCTTCATCCCTGCGTCCTATCTATCGATTTAAATAGTAAACATTCATTTGGAGATCTAGTTAGCTTCGCTATGCGAATAGTACCAATCTTTGTGGACGTATTTCCATTTGACACCATATTCAATTACCTTCTTTAACGAAAATGGAGATTATTGAACAGACCAGTTGAAACACAGAATAACAGAAACTTAAAGATGATAGTTTAAATTTTCGTTATTACTGTCACATCTGAACTCTTCTTAAATATACAAATGTGTATCGTTTATCCCAGTAATCCATAGACAGTCCATAAGATCTATAAAATATACTGACGTATTAATTCAGAATGGCTTCTTGAATAGGCTCGACATATTTATCGAATACTTCACAAAGCAGCATACAAATATCGTACATATACACCTATCCATATACATAGATACATTATTTTACGCAGTTACTCGATTCTCAGACATAATAAGACAAATACGGTACCTGAAATCTATACAGAGAACTATCATCCTTTACGGTGAGTGTCTTGGAGTCATTCACCGGGAAGAAGTAGCCATACTGGCAGAGTTGATTGGCAATATGGACCGCCTCTACTGTCAACATAACAATTTACTTTCATATCTGCCAAAATCGTTGTATTTCACAGATGGCAACTAATCACGTGCAACTTTTCTCTAGTCTCTGCCACATTGCACGTACGTCGCGTGACGGGTAACAATTAACACACAACCAGTGATTCGGAGCGAATATTTGGTGTAGCGCATGCTTTTCCAACATAAAAAGGCTACATCATTGAACAAATTGACTTATTTTTCTTCCTCAAATCCCTCTAAAGAGGAGTCTTTGTAGCAAACAAGTAATGGGCTTAAGCGGGTTTGATCGTATCCTTTTGTGTTGCCTCTGACGGTCAAAATTCAACGAAAAGGCAGTAAGTACAAAAAGTGATAAGAAATTTTCAAGGGTGATTCTGCGGGACCAAATAAAAGGAAGATTAAAAGTGATAAAATTGCGATTGCGATTTTCTTTTTTAATTATTAACACTTAAGAAGTCTCCGAGCCTTGGCAATGTCATACCGTGAGCTACAAAGTAGATACATACTATGCAGAGCTGCAAAGATTTGTTGCGAAAGGAATAGGGGTCTGATTGGGTCATATCCCCATAAGTCCACCTTCTCTAACATAATAATAGAAATAGGGCACACGTATTGTCATTTTTAGTCGAACGCGACAACATTGACGAACCGGATCATATAGCACCGCGTAGCGGAATATTCGGGCGGTGCAAGTGAAATACTCCTCTTGCCCCTGTGCTGTCCAGCGAGAAATATTTCCACCTCTACATAGAATACTATGCAGAGCTACAAAGATTGCGCCCAGGACGGCACAGGAGCCCTCCTCCGAGGTCAGGGCGCAAGTCGAGGCGCGGGAAGGGCTGCGGAAGTCATACAAAGTTTCCGCGGCCCTCCCCAGCACACTTGGCGAGGATCACTCCCCGGGGGAGGAAGGCGGGGTGTCTTTGGAAGATTTCCCCCGCGTCAAAAAAAAAAAGGACGGCACAGGGGCAAGGAGAGTAAGCCGCACGCTCCGCCTTTGTGCTCACGTTCACGCGATGTACTAGTAGATGTGACCGTTTCGGCCAATAATAAAAATGCCTCTGATCCAACTTTATGAGTGTCTCAATACAACCAATGAAACCATCATTCCTTCCACGCGCAATCCTTCCAGCTCTGCTAGTACTTATAAAGGAACATCCCGGAGTGCTGATTCCGTTCAATGTGGAAGAGAGCAGATAAAAAAAAGTACTTGTCAAATATTTTTCTGAAATTTATCACATATTCAAATTTCAGAAGAATTGGGAATGTTCACTTGTCAGATCAGTAGGTGAGGTTGTAATAATTGTCACCTCATAAAAGCTCTGATAAAATCTTCATCAGTATGCTCAGGAAGATTTTAGGTGATTATTGAGAAATTTCTGTGACTGAAAAGAGCGCCTCAATCATAATTCTATTATTCTTGATTTTCATTTTATTTTGTCATGTAGAATTATCAATTAAAAGCTCTCCGCTACCATTTAAACGTTGCCGAATATTTTTCATGTATAAAATTATTACAACGAAAATAATGTGTAATGGAAAAAATGCACCATTGAAATATTATATCAAAATAGTTGCAACAAAATGTATGATAATGGTAATAGTTTAGTATGAATGTACAAGGTGTTAAGAAAACCAGGATTAGGGAATGTAGATTACTCAGCATAATGAGCAACAAATTTTTAGGTAATTGTTGCATTGCAATCAATTTCTAAGGATTTATGAGTCATAAATATTTTAATGCGATAACATGTTTGTGTATAACTACAATATGTTCAGTAACTGTTAATGAAAACATTAAAAAGAAATTGATTGTAGTGAAATATTTGTAAAGAAATTCTGTCAGTGTACAGATTTGTAGGAGTTGAGGAACAATTTGAGGGACCAAGCGGTACTGAATCCGCGACCTCCGGCCGGGCAAGGCAAGACGACTCTGCACGCCTATGCGACAAGGCGTCCCCTCTTGGCTTTCCTCACCGCTATTGCTCATTTTGATGGGTATGGAGGTCCCCGATCCCACATTTGGCCATCCCTGCGCTGCATTCGCTCCCGAATGTCCTTAAGCGAACATCAAAACTTTCTCTCTATCACTATCCTTCTCAAAACATT